GTCAGCGGCGGGCCTGCAGCCCCGCTGTCTGCTCCAGCTTTCAGGGGCCCGGCAACCGGAGGAAGGTTTGAGGTGAGGAACCCCGGAATGGCGGCTGCCGGGCCTCGGGGTTCCGCCACAGGGACTTCCTGCCCCTCCAGGCCCCTGAGGGGCCGAGGGGTGTGTGACCCCAGGGCCCAAGCCCAAGGGGACCCGGCCCAAACGCCAGGCAGAGCCGCCCGAGGGCACCTGAGCGGTGACCCTGAGCTCAGGGCCCAGCTCTGCGGGCACCAAGGGCTGCTGCCCTCCCTGCGCGGCTGTGGGGGCCAGGGCTGCTGCCAGGCGAGGAGAGGCCCGAACCACGTGGGGACCCGCCCCCCCGCCATGTCCCAGACTATGAAATAGGCCCTGGGGCCCGGGTCGGTCAAAGGAGCCAGGAGTCCCCTTAGCCACCTGCGAGGCGCGTTCCCCAGCCCCGCCTGCCCACCCTGGCGGGTCCCGCAGGCCCATCCCGCAGCCTCCAACCCCGGGAAGGGGAGGGCGGACAGGTGGTTAAAAATAGCCCCGGCGCCGCCTGTCCTCTCCCCTCGGCCCAGTCCAGGCCGGTTCACAGGGGGCACGAGGCCCGGGGAAACTAAGTGGGGGCCGGATTCGAACCCCAACTTGGAGGTCCCAGGCCATCTCCTCCTTCCTCCGCGAGGCCGTGGCCCTGACCGGCGTCCCGCTGGCAGCGGCCGTACCTGCGTCGTGGCTTCAGCGCACCGACCTCAGCGCACCGGCCGGCGGACGCCCCGCCGCCCGCGGATGGAATCTGAACCCGGGAACCGACGCCGACTCCGAAAAACACGCAGACGAGCAGGCCCCACGTCCAATCAGAGCGCTAAAGACCCGCCGTCTCCCCGAAACACGGAGCGACTCATCCAATGGCGGGCAGGCCACGCCCCCGTCGGGTTGAGCGTCCCTGGGGGCGGGACTTTCTGGTGCGCCGGGTCTTAAAGGCGCCGGCTGCGTTCCCAGGCGCGCAGCGCGGGGCGGGGCCAGCCCCTCCCCGGACCCCGCAGGGACGCGCGGGCGCCTGTAATTCGAGCCTCCGCTGTGGACGCTCTGGGCCCACATTCTTTCCCGGGGCCCGGCGGCCGCGCGGCCGGCTGTCAGGTGACCCTGAGGTCACCTCTGGGAGAGGCCCGCCTGGTGGCCGCGCTATTCTTATCTCGGCGCGGAGCAGTGACTCGGGAGGCCTCCCCCTCCGCTGCTCCACGCGGCCCCTGCACCCGAGAGGATCGTGCTCAGCTCGTG